TCTTTTCAATGTTGTATCAAAATGAGAAGGTTTATTGAATCTACCTGAAATTATTTATTACGTTTAAAAAATATGTTGTGTTTTAGGCTTGTTTGAGAGAGTCTGAGTAAGAGGCATCAGTTTCTTTCAGGCCTGGAAAACAGACTTGGAATCAGCTCTTACTGACCCAGTCCAAACCTTAAAGGTGCTACACCTTAAATTTCCGATTTCCACTAGATAACACAGCCACAAAGTCAAAGCTTTCCCATTTTGACAACAGATGCCGCTCCGGTGGTAGAAATCAATAGGCGAATATCACAGCCAATCACAACACTAGCGGGTAAGTAATATTGTGAAACACTATCATTCCACTATTACTGCAGATATATTATGGAAATTGAAAAAAATCCTATGTGTAGCACCTTTAACCATTGTGGTCTAAATCAGATAACTGCTCCTGGGACAGTTGTTTGCGTAGCAATTGAGACTGGGAACAAGGACAGATTAAGAGTGAGTTAGAAAGGCGACAGAGAGAGCGTTCAGAGAGGATCTGGTATACTGTGTGTGTGGTGTGTGTGCACAGTATGTGTGTGGTGTGTACTTGTTTTCCTACCTTATCAGGACCCCAATGTCCTAACAATTTACCTGAATGTTTTCCTACCTTGTCAGGACAATAACTTTTCTTTAAAGTCAGGAAATTTTTCATATCCTGAATTTGTTCAAATGCTATTTTAAGATTAAGGGTTAGGTTTAGGGTTAAGGTTAGGGTTAGGGTTTTTGGGGTTAAGATTAGAGAAAATAGGATTTTTAATGGTTAAACATTCTTACTCCCCAAAAAGTCCTGAAATTCCACAAAAAATTAAGCTGTGTGTGTGTGTGTGTACAGTATGTGTGTGTGATGGTGGGGTCAGGAGGCAGACAGACAGAGGACTGTGGGGGAGACCTGACGGACAGGTTCACACACACCCCTGGCTGATGGATGGCTCCCTCTCAGTGCATATGCCCAACTCTCCAGAGACGGAATAAAACCTGGAAAGATTTTCATTTCAATACAAGGACAGCAGCCGGGGAAAATTTAATCTCTGGGCAAGGACAGAGGCTCTCCCTGCTCTCAGTGGCCATCAATCAGATCAAACACTGGGACACGGACACACACACAGGCAGGTGCTCACACACACACACACACTTGTAGGTGGATGTACGCACAAGTGAATGAACGCAGACACACACATGCATGAAAGCATATGCTCACTGTCAATGAAAACGACAATGCTCAGTCTATGTTCCTTTGTGGTCAAAACATCTATTCCTTTCTGAGGAGGATTTGATCAGCGATAGTGTGTGTGTGAGGCTATAGTATCTAGTCCTCCATTACTAAATACCTGGTTGACCCTGTAAGCAGCATGTTCTGTTTGTGTTTGTGGGTGTGTGTGCATTAGTGCTGAGTGTTTATTGCTTTTTGAGGTCGGTTCGGTTTCAGTTAGATTATTAAAAAATAATCATGGTTTTCGATTTTTTAAACGCACTATGCATTATGTGGTTTGAATGCTGTAACAACACAGAATAAACAATTAATAAAAGTCCCATGATGGTAGTGACTGCCCATTACTGCTTATCACTTAACCATCATTTATTCACATTACTGAAATATTTCAGTTGTTGTGTATATTACATTTGTTTTATTTGATGACTTTATTATTTCATTCCAAGTCATCTCATCTCTATAGAGCTGCTGCCTATGCTGTCTGACAAAATCACTATTTTAGTAGTTCTTAAAAGTAAATAAAGCATACTTTTATGACTGATGAATACCAACTATCAATCACTTAGATCATGTATTTTCAGGTAGAGCTATCTCGCGAAGCAACTGCTCTCTATCCCTCTTGATCACGCATTCTTGTCTCTTCTCTCCCTCTCTGTGTCTGCCCCACACAGACCGAAAAAGTAGGCACACGCTAAACTATGTAGAATATTGGCCTGTTGGAAACTACAAATCCCTACTACATCGCACAGTTTTTTTTTTTTAGGGGGTAGATTCAGCTTTAATATTGCAGATAGATTGTAACGTCCATCAATGTAATTGTCTGCATCACTTCCAATCCCCCATATGTTTTTTTTCTCTCGCAAATATATATATATATATATACACACACACACACACACACACACACACACACACATACATACATACAGTGGGGAGAACAAGTATTTGATACACTGCCGATTTTGCAGGTTTTCCTACTTACAAAGCATGTAGAGGTCTGTAATTTTTATCATAGATACACTTCAACTGTGAGAGACGGAATCTAAAACAAAAATCCAGAAAATAACATTGTATGATTTTTAAGTAATTAATTTGCATTTTATTGCATGACATAAGTATTTGATCACCTACCAACCAGTAAGACTTCCGGCTCTCACAGACCTGTTAGTTTTTCTTTAAGAAGCCCTCCTGTTCTCCACTCATTACCTGTATTAACTGCACCTGTTTGAACTCGTTACCTGTATAAAAGACACCTGTCCACACACTCAAACAGACTTCACCCTCTCCACAATGGCCAAGACCAGAGAGCTGTGTAAGGACATCAGGGATAAAATTAGACCTGCATAAGGCTGGGATGGGCTACAGGACAATAGGCAAGCAGCTTGGTGAGAAGGCAACAACTGTTGGCGCAATTATTAGAAAATGGAAGAAGTTCAAGATGACGGTCAATCACCCTCTGTCTGGGGCTCCATGCAAGATCTCACCTCGTGGGGCATCAATGATCATGAGGAAGGTGAGGGATCAGCCCAGAACTACATGGCAGGACCTGGTCAATGACCTGAAGAGAGCTGGGACCACAGTCTCAAAGAAAACCATTAGTAACACACTACGCCGTCATGGATTAAAATCCTGCAGTGCACGCAAGGTCACCCTGCTCAAGCCAGCGCATGTCCAGGCCCGTCTGAAGTTTGCCAATGACCATCTGGATGATCCAGAGGAGGAATGGGAGAAGGTCATGTGGTCTGATGAGACAAAAATAAGTACAACCCCAAGAACACCATCCCAATCGTGAAGAATGGAGGTGGAAACATCATTCTTTGGGGATGCTTTTCTGCAAAGGGGACAGGACGACTGCACCATATTGAGGGGAGGATGGATGGGGCCATGTATCGCGAGATCTTGGCCAACAACCTCCTTCCCTCAGTAAGAGCATTGAAGATGGGTCGTGGCTGGGTCTTCCAGCATGACAACGACCCGAAACACACAGCCAGGGCAACTAAGGAGTAGCTCCGTAAGAAGCATCTCAAGGTCCTGGAGTGGCCTAGCCAGTCTCCAGACCTGAACCCAATAGAACATCTTTGGAGGGAGCTGAAAGTCCGTATTGCCCAGCGATAGCCCCGAAACCTGAAGGATCTGGAGAAGGTCTGTATGGAGGAGTGGGCCAAAATCCCTGCTGCAGTGTGTGCAAACCTGGTCAAGACCTACAGGAAACGTATGATCTCTGTAATTGCAAACAAAGGTTTCTGTACCAAATATTAAGTTCTGCTTTTCTGATGTATCAAATACTTATGTCATGCAATAAAATGCAAATTAATTACTTAAAAATCATACAATGTGATTTTCTGGATTTTTGTTTTAGATTCCGTCTCTCACAGTTGAAGTGTACCTATGATAAAAATTACAGACCTCTACATGCTTTGTAAGTAGGAAAACCTGCAAAATCAGCAGTGTATCAAATACTTGTTCTCCCCACTGTATATACATACATACACATACATATCCTTTAAAAAATATATATATTTCCCTTTATTACTTTCCAACCCCACCACCCCTTCCCTAATAAGAGTAAACTAGTGAACAACAATGCTTATGCCTCTACTTCCAGCTTATACATACTATATACATTTTATGGACACAGTCAATTTTACAATAATTCTATTTTGTTTGTTTTTACTCCTGAACTTCCTCTACCCTCAACCTCTCCGATCATTTTCATAAATGATGTCCATCCGGTTTGCTTCTATATGCCATATCTTTCTAACTGTGCTCTTTCACAAAAGCTCTCAACCTATAACCTATATACTTATTATGGACACAGTATGCTTACATTATTAGTTATCTTGTTGTTATTAGTTGTTGTTAGTTGTTATTAGTCCCATCCTTCAACTCCATTCAACACCACCCATCTATCTATCTCTTAACACCATCCATATTGGATTTCTATTTGCCATATATTTTTCAACTGTACTGTGATGTTTTACAAAAGTTTTACAAAAAAAAGTTCTGAACTATTCTCATTGTTTCTACAGATTGTACAATAGTACATTTTTGCTAAAAGTATTATTATATTATTGATTGATTGACTATGACTTTTCAGATCACCCAGTAATACATCGCACAGTTAGGGCTTGATCTGATTTATCTCAATAGAAACTGCGCATTGAGCTAACATAATTTTTTTTAACGAAATGGAATTCAAATAATTGAACCGACATCAGTCAATTAGTTGTTTAAAAACCATTTAGGTTATTCGCTCAGCACTAGTATGTATGTGTTTCTGTGTGTGTGTGTGTTTGTGCGTATGTCCTTGTACCTTGTGGCTGGTAATGAAGGTGCAGTACTTTCTAGCAGTGTGTGTGTGTGTGTGTACCTTGTGGCTGGTAATGAAGGTGCAGTACTTTCTAGCAGTGTGTGTGTGTGTGTACCTTGTGGCTGGTAATGAAGGTGCAGTACTTTCTAGCAGTGTGTGTGTGTGTGTACCTTGTGGCTGGTAATGAAGGTGCAGTACTTTCTAGCAGTGTGTGTGTGTGTGTGTACCTTGTGGCTGGTAATGAAGGTGCAGTACTTTCTAGCAGTGTGTGTGTGTGTGTACCTTGTGGCTGGTAATGAAGGTGCAGTACTTTCTAGCAGTGTGTGTGTGTGTGTACCTTGTGGCTGGTAATGAAGGTGCAGTACTTTCTAGCAGTGTGTGTGTGTGTGTACATTGTGGCTGGTAATGAAGGTGCAGTACTTTCTAGCAGTGTGTGTGTGTGTTTACCTTGTGGCTGGTAATGAAGGTGCAGTACTTTCTAGCAGTGTGTGTGTGTGTGTACATTGTGGCTGGTAATGAAGGTGCAGTACTTTCTAGCAGTGTGTGTGTGTGTTTACCTTGTGGCTGGTAATGAAGGTGCAGTACTTTCTAGCAGTGTGTGTGTGTGTGTGTACCTTGTGTCGGTAATGAAGGTGCAGTACTTTCTAGCAGTGTGTGTGTGTTTACCTTGTGGCTGGTAATGAAGGTGCAGTACTTTCTAGCAGTGTGTGTGTGTGTGTACCTTGTGGCTGGTAATGAAGGTGCAGTACTTTCTAGCAGTGTGTGTGTGTGTGTACCTTGTGGCTGGTAATGAAGGTGCAGTACTTTCTAGCAGTGTGTGTGTGTGTACCTTGTGGCTGGTAATGAAGGTGCAGTACTTTCTAGCAGTGTGTGTGTGTGTGTACCTTGTGGCTGGTAATGAAGGTGCAGTACTTTCTAGCAGTGTGTGTGTGTGTGTACCTTGTGGCTGGTAATGAAGGTGCAGTACTTTCTAGCAGTGTGTGTGTGTGTTTACCTTGTGGCTGGTAATGAAGGTGCAGTACTTTCTAGCAGTGTGTGTGTACCTTGTGTCGGTAATGAAGGTGCAGTACTTTCTAGCAGTGTGTGTGTGTTTACCTTGTGGCTGGTAATGAAGGTGCAGTACTTTCTAGCAGTGTGTGTGTGTGTGTACCTTGTGGCTGGTAATGAAGGTGCAGTACTTTTTAGCAGAGTGTGTGTGTGTTTACCTTGTGGCTGGTAATGAAGGTGCAGTACTTTCTAGCAGTGTGTGTGTGTGTGTACCTTGTGGCTGGTAATGAAGGTGCAGTACTTTCTAGCAGTGTGTGTGTGTGTGTACCTTGTGGCTGGTAATGAAGGTGCAGTACTTTCTAGCAGTGTGTGTGTGTGTGTACCTTGTGGCTGGTAATGAAGGTGCAGTACTTTCTAGCAGTGTGTGTGTGTGTTTACCTTGTGGCTGGTAATGAAGGTGCAGTACTTTCTAGCAGAGTGTGTGTGTGTTTACCTTGTGGCTGGTAATGAAGGTGCAGTACTTTCTAGCAGTGTGTGTGTGTGTTTACCTTGTGGCTGGTAATGAAGGTGCAGTACTTTCTAGCAGTGTGTGTGTGTGTTTACCTTGTGGCTGGTAATGAAGGTGCAGTACTTTCTAGCAGAGTGTGTGTGTGTTTACCTTGTGGCTGGTAATGAAGGTGCAGTACTTTCTAGCAGTGTGTGTGTGTGTGTTTACCTTGTGGCTGGTAATGAAGGTGCAGTACTTTCTAGCAGTGTGTGTGTGTGTGTGTTTACCTTGTGGCTGGCCCTGTAAGGGCAGGACATTCTGGCCCAGCTCTCCATTGAGCCACAGCTGCATACGGATAAAGGGCTCCCGGCCCTTCTGGGTCAGCTTGCTCCAGGGCTTGGGCCTGGACAGCATGTCGCTCACACTGCCCTGAGACAGGCCCAGCACCTGTAACACGTACACACACATTGACAAACAGACAGAAACACAGACACATCAGCCAATAAATAATTAAATATACCTGAGCTCACAATGACAGTAAAACAACATTCCAATGTGTAATTACACTGCACAGAAAGCATGCCAGAATGAAGCCTTATATTAGCTACTGTAAGCAAACAAAAACAATGGTCCTTACTGTACAGTACATAGACAAGTACAAGACATAGACAAGTACAAACACATATGCAAACACACAGAGATCATGCAGTTTTTCCTTCAAACCCCTGAGATCTGTACTGTACGTCATTACACCATCTGCTTTAGTTTGTACCAAAGAGGGTGTATAACAGAGTTTTTGTTGGTGGAATCCTGGTTGGCGGCCCAATGCTACATCACTGTGTGATGCCATTAACTAGATGACTGCTAAGAGAGACAGGCTTAGATGTGTCTAAATGGATGTGACAACTGCTGGCCAGTGTAGGAGCAGGGTCCCTCTGTACTGTACTGAAGCTTAGAGGACCACATATGTTGTGTGATGTCAATAGTGACCGTTTCACACAAATCTTTTTACACGCGTATGAATGGATTCATTCAGCAAACACACTCCAACGGAGGGGCTGAGCTAGCATAGTACACACAGTTTTGAGCTGTGCTGACCAAGGGTGGAGGGCAGCTGGGTGACTCAGTGGAAATGACAGGAAGGGAGAGAGGGAAGGGGAGCAGTATTACAGGGGAGATGTGAGTTGACACTACACTGGCGCAGGATGGGTATATCAGGCAGTATAAGGACACGGGTATGGGACGGTAGGGCGTAGGGTGGTCTGTGTCTTGCACACCTTCTCTCCAAAGATGCGCTGGCAGATGCCGTTCTTGGCCAGCTTGTCCTTGACCTGTTGCGTGAGCTCGGCCGTGTCCACCTCCTGGTACATGTAGACCTCGTACTGCTCAGGCGTGAGCGGCACCACCACCGGCTTGGCTGGTTTGGCTGCGGGAGTCAACAGGGAACCCAGGGGCCCCAGGCTCAAGGACAGAGGCAGGGGAGAGGGGCTGCTCTGGGGGGTGTCGGCGCGACTGGTCCCCTGGGTGTTGGTGCACCCGCCGGGCTCGGAGCCGGCCTGGGAGTACGGGGACTCGGCCCGGGGCCAGTCCTTCCAGTAGTCCACGGAGGAGATGGAGACGGAGGAGGAGAAGGGGGCCAGCGCCGAGGACGAGCCGGCCAGCCGGGGAGGCTTCTGGCGGAGACACAGAAAGGCACAGTCAGTGGGGGTGGTGGGGGAGTGGGGATGGGGCCTGCCACTAAAGGCAAACGGCTAATTGCTAACGGCACAGTCACTGTGCAGGGAGGGTGCTAACCACTAACGCTAACATCACACTATCGGCCAGCTATGGATACATAGGTGGTTCCTCTTCCCCTATAAAGGATTAGGACACAGCCACTGTCATTGGCTGGATCCAGAGTGGGTATGTGGAGCAAAGAAACTTAACTCCCATAAGTTGCTGGGTTAGGCCATGTTCTGCCTCTGAAAGTTGATAGTTTGCCATATCTGTTGGAGACGCACAGCAGAATGTCTCCGCCGCATTGCTAAACCGGTTTGCGGTGTCGACACGGACCTCACATACAGTGGGGAGAACAAGTATTTGATACGCTGCCGATTCTGCAGGTTTTCCTACTTACAAAGCATGTAGAGGTCTGTAATTTTTATCATAGGTACACTTCAACTGTGAGAGACGGAATCTAAAACAAAAATCCAGGAAATCACATTGTATGATTTTTAAGTTATTCATTTGCATTTTATTGCATGACATAAGTATTTGATCACCTACCAACTAGTAAGAATTCCGGCTCTCACAGACCTGTTAGTTTTTCTTTAAGAAGCCCTCCTGTTCTCCACTCATTACCTGTATTAACTGCACCTGTTTGAACTCGTTACCTGTATAAAAGACACCTGTCCACACACTCAATCAAACAGACTCCAATCTCTCCACAATGGCCAAGACCAGAGAGCTGTGTAAGGACATCAGGGATAAAATTGTAGACCTGCACAAGGCTGGGATGGGCTACAGGACAATAGGCAAGCAGCTTGGTGAGAAGGCAACAACTGTTGGCGCAATTATTAGAAAATGGAAGAAGTTCAAGATGACGGTCAATCACCCTCGGTCTGGGGCTCCATGCAAGATCTCACCTCGTGGGGCATCAATGATCATGAGGAAGGTGAGGGATCAGCCCAGAACTACACGGCAGGACCTGGTCAATGACCTGAAGAGCGCTGGGATCACAGTCTCAAAGAAAACCATTAGTAACACACTACACCGTCATGGATAAAAATCCTGCAGCGCACGCAAGGTCCCCCTGCTCAAACCAGCGCATGTCCAGGCCCGTCTGAAGTTTGCCAATGACCATCTGGATGATCCAGAGGAGGAATGGGAGAAGGTCTTGTGGTCTGATGAGACAAAAATAGAGCTTTTTGGTCTAAACTCCACTCGCCGTGTTTGGAGGAAGAAGAAGGATGAGTACAACCCCAAGAACACCATCCCAACCGTGAAGCATGGAGGTGGAAACATCATTCTTTGGGGATGCTTTTCTGCAAAGGGGACAGGACGACTGCACCGTATTGAGGGGAGGATGGATGGGGCCATGTATCGCGAGATCTTGGCCAACAACCTCCTTCCCTCAGTATGAGCATTGAAGATGGGTCGTGGCTGGGTCTTCCAGCATGACAACGACCTGAAACACACAGCCAGGGAAACTAAGGAGTGGCTCCGTAAGACTCATCTCAAGGTCCTGGAGTGGCCTAGCCTGTCTCCAGACCTGAACCCAATAGAAAATCTTTGGAGGGAGCTGAACGTCCGTATTGCCCAGCGACAGCCCCGAAACCTGAAGGATCTGGAGAAGGTCTGTATGGAGGAGTGGGCCAAAATCCCTGCTGCAGTGTGTGCAAACCTGGTCAAGACCTACAGGAAACGTATGATCTCTGTAATTGCAAACAAAGGTTTCTGTACCAAATATTAAGTTCTGCTTTTCTGATGTATCAAATACTTATGTCATGCAATAAAATGCAAATTAATAACTTAAAAATCATACAATGTGATTTTCTGGATTTTTGTTTTAGATTCCGTCTCTCACAGTTGAAGTGTACCTATGATAAAAATTACAGACCTCTACATGCTTTGTAAGTAGGAAAACCTGCAAAATCGGCAGTGTATCAAATACTTGTTCTCCCCACTGTACATACACACCGAGCACCTCGTTCTGAGTAGAGCAGCTGCACGTTACAGATGAACAAAGACAATGGCCCTCTGTTTGGTATGGTCTATTATAACACTGTCCAATATCACCTTCCAAATACATTCAAATTACAGGTACACAAGGGCTGTGTACAGAAGCTGATTTGAGTGATGGCCACCAACAAAAACTACAATAGTGAGTAACAAATCTCAGCAGTTTAAGGAGAAGTAGCAAACAACAGACAAACAGCATATACTGTAGATGTTCCATCAGAGGGCATTAGCCATGAGTGTAGAAATGAGTGATAGTGATTTGACCAATGTTCGCTCTAAACTGCGTGCGTGCGCGCGCAGCTCCCTCGGGACTGCCGCGCAGAAATATCAGCCCACAGAGAAGCACAAGATTGAACTTCACTCAACTTTCTAGAGTAGTGGTCACCAACCAGTCAATCGCGATCGACTGGTCGATCTCCAAGGCATTCCTAGTCGATCACCAAACATTTATTTAAAAAACCCAACGATAAAGCCTTGTGTTCCTATTTTTGGCGGTAGGTGCACACGATTCAGCTGCCCTGCGCGCCGGGTAGATGAACTGTTGCCATTTTGAACCATTTCATGTGTCTGAAGGTACAAACTCTGCTTTCCCGGCTGGCCCAGGGAGCAAATCAAGTGCACCATCGGCCTACCGCTGGCCAATCAGATGGCTCAGATGACCGTGTCTGCAGTAACGTAGCAGACATAAAAGAAAGCTACAGCAAAGTTGATATTGTGCGATTTCAAAACCATGATTAGAGAGAGACTGTCAACGAATACAGCAAAGAGATGCTGTTTTTATGAGTGAGTTCATGTTTAAGTTCTTACTCAGCACTGTCAACACTTTGTATTGAACACTTTTATAAGCCATAAAATGCGCGTTCTTCCTATTTCCACTCAACGCTACAACAAGCACTGCAGCAGTAATGAATGAGTAGGAAAGTGTATCTATAGGCTTGTGTTGTTGTTTTGGGGTCTTTTTTAATATCAAGGAATATTTCACTTTCTCTGTTCATAGGAGTAACAACATGTATTTGTGCATGAGGCAGAAATAATGCGGTGCGACTCGAGTTTCGCCATCATCAGGAAGACTGTGTCCCTTTTTGGTCAGTGTCAACCATCAGATTCAGGCACCATCAGCCCAATAAAATAAAAATAAAAAGCTAATTATTGAAATGTGTGCTCACTTAGCTGTGCTTCACAAGTAATACAACAACGGATCTATTACCGGTGTGATCATATAGCCTACCTCAACTTTTGAAATATAATTTTAAAAAATGGCCCGAACAACAATGCATTGGCAAGGCAATTCAAGCAAAGCCCAATATGCGGTGATAATGTATTGGGCCTATAGCTTACTGCACAAACCTAATTGCTACAGTACTGTTTTTAATTGGTTAATGTTGCATAGGCTTCCGTTTTTTAAGTCAAGTAAAAGAAAATCTGAGCGGTAGATCTCGGCTTGCATTTTGAATTAAAGTGATCTTGACTCAGAAAAGGTTGGTGACCACTGTTCTAGCGTTTTCCCTGTTAACACTATCAACGTTTCCCTTTACTGTGGAAATTGTGATTGACTCAACGCAATATTAGCCACTTTCAATGCAACAAAACAAACTATGCAAGATATTTTGTTGTAGGCAGAACACATCGGAGTAGGATTCTATTGCATTGACACGCACTACTCAGCCCGTACTCTACACAAACTGGTGTGGCATAAACAATCAGAGCTGCAGTAGGCCTATATGCAAATAGACCATTGCCATATATTGATCTGTGCCATTTACTTTGAACTGGACTGTGTTTACAGCATGAGTGGTCGTGAGTAGATGCGCTTGTTTTGAGATCAAAGCGACAGCTGCACGTAGCCACGTGTGCACATTTTGTTAATATCCTTTGCTAGTTAGTGAGTTATTAGCCCAGTTATAGATCAATTGTAGTCAGCAATAGGGGAGGGATTGCTTCCTACAAGAGCACATTTATACATTTATAGACATCTTTGAAAAGCGACTCAGGTAAGGAGCTTTATTTTTGTCTTAAAGGGGCAGTGTTGTATTTTGAGACAGGCTTGAATAAACTAAGTAGGGTAGAACAATTTGTCTGATTCTCTGTAATAATGGTATGGGAATAATAATGCATTTTATTTTGTAAAGTGGTTTCTTGCATCAAACAACACAACAACATTTTCAGTCACCTTCTTGTCTGAAGGACAAGTGGATAAACAGGTTAATGTCAAGCCCTCAAAAGTATCATGGAATGTAGGCCTACATTGAACACCACACATTGGCTGCTACTGTAGGCTGAATGATAGAACAGCTATTTCCATGTTAGAATGTTATGGGATGCATTTTCTCCATTGTTTTTGGTGGTAGGCCACTCTGGTAGGGCTACATTATGATCAAATAGCCACAGTAGCCTACATGGCCACTGTTAAAACTGTAAGTTAAAGCGGGTACAGCCTCAGTGTTCACAGTAAATTCGCGATGGAAGTTGCACATTGAATATGACACATTCTCAGAACATTTCAAAATTTTGTCAGCCAGTAACTGTCATGCAAATAACTGCCGGTCCGTTAATTAACAAAAACACGTTTAGTTCTTGGGGATCTCCGGCCACTGATGCGGGCCTTTGGAACATCTACATTGAAAAAAGTATAATAAATCCATTGAATATAGCCTACACCGTCACAATAAATTCATTATTTATATTAGACAGGTCTAAAGAAACATTATGATATGAAGAAAATTAAGCCTATTTCAGAAGAACAGAATAGCATATTCTATGTTAGGCCCTGATTTGGCTATGCCGTATGGCTGTGGGCTACACTAGTTCATTTTGCATACAAGATTTGGTTATAATTCTGTGGCATTATTTTATACTAAGAAGAATACAATTGAACATAGCTGAATAAAATAGAAAGGATACGATTGAGGGAGAGCACACATGCGGCTATTCTGTGTTGAGCGGTTAACAAAGTGATACTTTGAAACAGGTCCTCCTATATGCTTTATTTATTTATTTATGCAACTTTAGTTGTTATACAAACCTTAGGCTAAATGTTTTGATTTCTAATTCATTCTAAGGCTGCATGATGCAACGAATGATGATTTGAAAAAAGTTGCTCTGTTTCTTGCACAGGCTGAACACACTTCATCAGTCTCTCATTCACAATGTGACAAGCACTTCATAATATTCTCACCCAGACGACTATTCTCAATGTAATGTGGTCTTTACATATAGCCTACTAATATATGTGTGGAAATATTTTTTTATTTAGTGTAGAATGGCCAACAACAAAAAATACGTAATTGTAGCCTGTACTCGAATAGCGAATGGAGGAAGTGCTTACTGCGGTTGTTTTTAATATGCCAGGTAGGCTACACCGGTTGTAAAGCGGATTAATGTGCTTACATTTATTTTTATTTTTTATAAATATAGCAGCACCAGAAAGCTGGGATCATCTTTTAAATAGTGGCCAGTCAAAACTCTGTTTTCACAAGCCATTGTGCAATGACTGGGCTTATAAGAACATGTGTTTCACTTGTCTCTGTAGGCTATGGGCTCTCCAACCCTGTTCCAGGGGTCCTAGGCCTATAGGCTACGTTGAAAAGTTATTTGGCCACTTTAGTTGCGATACAAACCTTATCAAAACATACAGGTCTATAGGCTAAGCTACATGTGCATGCAACTATGATTTGAAGAAGTCGCCAAAAAATACATGCGCTGTTTCTTGCCTTAGACTGCACACGCTGGCATCATTCACAAGTGATACTATTCTCACCAGACTATTCTCAATTTAAATCTTGTCATATACTAAATAATACATGTGTAAAATTCGTTTTGATTTAGAATGGGCCATTATAGAATAGTGAATGGAGGACGCTTTTCCCGAGGTTCATTTTCATGCCAGCCAGGTAGGCTACTCTGGTTGTAAAGCGAAGCAATGTGCTTAATATTAGGAAAGTTGATAAATAAATATAGTAGGCCTAGCCTATAGAAAGCATTTGGATTGATGTCAGAGTGATTAGAGGGACAATAGAGCGCTGAGTACCAGGCCATTAGTGAATGGCTGTTAGCAAGTTTGGTAGACTACTAATGACCATCAGCAGTACCAGATTGCAGTTTTGGAGAATCCTAGTTACAGTCACGTGGAATTTGACTGCGGTCATGACTCGTGACTGCCGGTGTGGCGGTAATACGATGACCGTAACAGCCCTAATTGTGGCCCGACCACCATGGTTCAGAGGTGAGAGGTCATGAAGGCAGAGTGTGTAAGGTATTAACTGTACTGTACCTCCTTGCTGTCCTCCTGACTCCGTGCGTCGTCGTTCATGCTAGACGTGACTCCCCGCCCCCCGGGGTGCATACTATTCCACCATTGGTCCCTCCAGGAGCCCCGCCCCTGCTTGGTCCCTCCGTCCATTAGAGACCCTCCTCCTCCCCCGCCTTCTCCCACCGCCACCTCTCCTGCCTCCTTCTTCACTATGGTAGAGTGGAAGTCCAGGAGGGAGGAGGGTGAGGAGGATGGGGGGATGGAGGGCTTCTTGAGGGAGAGGGCCAGGGGTGAGTAGGAGGCCGGGAGAGTGGAAGCGCCCAGGAGTTTGGGGGAGAGCAGGGCCAGGTCAGAGGGGCCCATGGAGGAGGGCTTGAGGATGGGCTCCAGGGCGGCCTGCTGGGCCTCCATCTCCCTCCTCGCCTGCTCTAGGATGGAGCGGATGGTCTCGTCTGAGCTGGAGGATCCACCTGAGCCGATACTACCACCACCACCAATGCTGGACGAGGGAGGGGGTTGAGACGAGTCCACTGCAGGGAGAGAGACCGACAGAGAGGATAGACAGACATCATCAGACAACGCTACGAATGTCATCCACACTCAACCTCAGATGATGCTTCATGGCCCACGTATACAGTGCCTTCGGAAAGTATTCAGACCCCTTGACTTTTTCCAAATGTTGTTACTTTACAGCCTTATTCTAAAATTGATTAAATTGTTTTTTCCCCGTCATCAATCTATATACAAAATAATAATGGATATGACGCTACCAGCTTGGCACACCTGAATTTGGGGAGTTTCTCATTCTTCTCTGCAGATCCTCTCAAGCTCTGTCAGGTTGATGGGGAGCGTTGCTGCACAGCTATTTTCAGGTCTCTCCAGAGATGTTTGATCAGGTTTAAGTCAGGGCTCTGGCTAGGCCACTCAAGGACATTCAGAGACTTATCCCGAAGCCACTCCTGCGTTGTCTTGGCTGTGTGCTTAGGGTCGTTGTCCTGTTGGAAGGAGAACCTTCACCCCAGTCTGAGGTCCTGAGAGCTCTGGAGCAGATTTTCATCAATGATCTCTCTGTACTTTGCTCCGTTCATCTTTGCCTCGATCCTGACTAGTCTCCCAGTCCCTGCCGCTGAAAAACATGCCCACAGCATGATTCTAGCACCACCATGCTTCACCGTGGGGATGGTGCCAGTTTTCCTCCAGACGTGACGCTTGGCATTCATGTCAAAGAGTTCAATCTTGGTTTCATCAGAGCAGAGAATCTTGTTTCTCATGGTCTGAGAGTCATTTAGGTGCCTTTTGGCAAACTCCAAGCAGGCTGTCATGTGCCTTTTACTGAGGAGTGGCTTCCGTCTGCCCACTCTACCATAAAGGCCTGATTGGTGGAGTGCTGCAGAGATGGTTGTCCTTCTGGAAGGTTCTCCCATCTCCAAAGAGGAACTCTAGAGCTCTGTCAGAGTGACCATCGGGTTCTTGGTTACCTCCCTGACCAAAGCCCTTCTCCCCCGATTGCTCAGTTTGGCCGGGCGGCCAGCTCTAGGAAGAGTCTTGGTGGTTCCAAACTTCTTCCATTTAAGAATGATGGAGGCCACTGTGTTCTTGGGGACCTTCAATGCTGCAGACATTTTTTGGTACCCTTCCCCAGATCTGCGCATTGACACAATCCTGTCTCGGAGCTCTGCGGACAATTCCTTCGACCTCATGGCTTGGTTTTTGCTCTGACATGCACTGTCAACTGTGGGACCTTATATAGACAGCTGTGTGCCTTTCCAAATCATGTCCAATCAATTGAATTTACCACAGGTGGACTCCAATCGAGTTGTAGAAACATCTCAAGGATGATCAATGGAAACAGAATGCACCAGAGCTCAATTTCGAGTCTCATAGCAAAGGGTCTGAATACTTAATTTGTAATACATTTGCAAAAACGTCTAAAAACCTGTTTTCGCTTTGTCATTATGGGGTATTGTGTGTAGATTGCTGAGGATTATTATTTTTTAAATCAAATTTAGAATAAGGCTGTAACGTAACAAAATGTTGAAAAAGTCAAGGGGTCTGAATACTTTCCGAAGGCACAGTACAGTGCTATTTGAAGTGGAGGAGAATTCTGTAAGGTTTTGGATTTTCTGTTTGATACCTGAAGTTCTAAACAAAAGGGAAATGTATCATCTTACAAGAAGTGATTTCTTAACATTGCATTTGAGGCTAAAATAAATGCTCCATAGTAGAACCATATCCCTTAGATTTAAGACATGATCAAGGAAATGTTTTCTACATCCCTTACAGAAATAGAAGGCACAACAGTCTTGTAGTCTGTATTTGGTTTGTATATTCTCGATGTGGGGCCACACAGTGTGTAAGGTTAAATCCATTCCTCACCGAGTCTGAGACTTTGTGCATATTTTGCGAAATAGTTGCCCATGCCTCGGGGGTAACCTGTCTGTCGTCGCTGTCTGTCCTCCACACCATCTGTAGTGGGTGGCACGGTGTCAAAAGGGGGTTAGCACGAGGGACATCTCTTAGACATTCTAATGGCGGTGTATTGGGTAGTCACTAGCACTGTTTGACATTAGTTATGGCATTGGCAATTTAGGGATAAATGTAGGACCCATTAGATACAATTGGGAAAGCTTGATCCAACCACATCACATCCTAATGTATGTTCATCCACTTTACAGTATGAGGTCAACACACTAGGAAGTACCTTCATCCCTTCAATACCCACCATCCCTATAATTTACTTATAAGGGGCATGCAGTGTAATATGAGGGTTGGGGGTCAGACAAGAAGAATCAGACTCAACTACAGCGGGGGGAAAAAGTATTTAGTCAGCCACCAATTGTGCAAGTTCTCCCACTTAAAAAGATGAGAGAGGCCTGGAAAATAAGTATTTGGTCAATAACAAAAGTTTCTCAATACTTTGTTATATACCCTTTGTTGGCAATGACACAGGTCAAACGTTTTCTGTAAGTCTTCACAAGGTTTTCACACACTGTTGCTGGTATTTTGGCCCATTCCTCCATGCAGATCTCCTCTAGAGCAGTGATGTTTTGGGGCTGTCGCTGGGCAACACGGACTTTCAACTCCCTCCAAAGATTTTCTATGGGGTTGAGATCTGGAGACTGGCTAGGCCACTCCAGGACCTTGAAATGCTTCTTACGAAGCCACTCCTTCGTTGCCCGGGCAGTGTGTTTGGGATCATTGTCATACTGAAAGACCCAGCCACGTTTCATCTTCAATGCCCTTGCTGATGGAAGGAAGTTTTCACTCAAAATCTCACGATACATGGCCCCATTCATTCTTTCCTTTATACGGATCAGTCGTCCTGGTCCCTTTGCAGAAAAACAGCCCCAAAGCATGATGTTTCCACCCCCATGCTTCACAGTAGGTATGGTGTTCTTTGGATGCAACTCAGCATTCTTTGTCCTCCAAACACGACGAGTTGAGTTTTTACCAAAAAGTTATATTTTGGTTTCATCTGACCATATGACATTCTCCCAATCCTCTTCTGGATCATCCAAATGCACTCTAGCAAACTTCAAACGGGCTGGACATGTACTGGCTTAAGCAGGGGGACACGTTTGGCACTGCAGGATTTGAGTCTCTGACGGCGTAGTGTGTTACTGATGGTAGGCTTTGTTACTTTGGTCCCAGCTCTCTGCAGGTCATTCACTAGGTCCCCCCGTGTGGTTCTGGGATTTTTGCTCACCGTTCTTGTGATCATTTTGACCCCACGGGGTGAGATCTTGCGTGGAGCCCCAGATCGAGGGAGATTATCAGTGGTCTTGTATGTCTTCCATTTCTTAATAATTGCTCCCACAGTTGATTTCTTCAAACCAAGCTGCTTACCTATTGCAGATTCAGTCTTCCCAGCCTGGTGCAGGTCTACAATTTTGTTTCTGGTGTCCTTTGACAGCTCTTTGGTCTTGGCCATAGTGGAGTTTGGAGTGTGACTGTTTGAGGTTGTGGACAGGTGTCTTTTATACTGATAACAAGTTCAAACAGGTGCCATTAATACAGGTAACGAGTGGAGGACAGAGGAGCCTCTTAAAGAAGAAGTTACAGGTCTGTGAGAGCCAGTAATCTTGCTTGTTTGTAGGTGACCAAATACTTATTTTCCACCATAATTTGCAAATAAATTCATAACAAATCCTACAATGTGATTTTCTGGAGAAAAAAAATCTCAATTTGTCTGTCATAGTTGACGTGTACCTATGATGAAAATTACAGGCCTCTCTCATCTTTTTAAGTGGGAGAACTTGCACAATTGGTGGCTGACTAAATACTTTTTTCCCCCACTGTATACAGCAGGGTTGAAGTTGGGTTGAGGTCGGGTTGAGGTCAATTTATTTTAGCTCTGTCAATACAGGGAATCAATTGGAAATTAAAACCAGACCTTGGTGTATAGTAGTGTGCATCAGACAGAGAGCAAAGAGAGGAGTCACTCACCAGCCTTCTGGACCTGCAGTTCTCTCTTGGCCTGCTCCAGGATGGACTTGATGGCCTCGTCTGAGCCACTCTCCGGAGTACGGATCCGCGTGGTGATGTTACCTAGGGATGGGCAACAAAGGTCAGGGGTCAATGGACCGTACCAAAGGGAGGGACGGCGGGAGGCAATGGGGGTGATAGAAAGTTGGGGTAATTAATAAATGTTGCTAGTATTTGACTACAATATGTCACAGATGCACAGTCATAACATACCCAATCTAAAAAAGTGCTACTTTCCTATAAATATCCAGTAAAACAGTAAATACAGACAAGCTGTGAGCCCACTGTCTCCTGTCTAAAAGGAACCCAAGGTGACGTTTCTAGCCTTCTCCTTCAGTGCGTTCCGATAAACTGCTACGGCCCCCCTGGCCTGCAGTACTCCCCTGGGGCTCCCTTTACAACACAGCTCAATCCTGTTAACACAAGTGGCCAAGGCTACACATGTTCCTCATGAGCGCTGAACAGAACAGAACACTTCCAGCAGCCAGACAGCAACTCTCTCCGCAACAATGGGAACCAGACTTTGGACAAGCTCCATAAGAAAAATAAGACCTTGTGTTTTGGACGGGCTTCAGGAGGGAAGGCTAATTGCTGTTTGGAGCTAAACATGGAGGGGCCTGACATACGCGGCTCCCAAGCTTTCGGCTTCCTCTCCTCTCTCTCATTTGTCCTGAATAAGTGGTCGGAGTAATTGGGCAAGGTCGTGCTCGCTCATGTGTGTGAGTGAGGGAGCAGCTGGCTACGGGGGGTGAACTGGAAGTAATTATTGACAAAAAAGGGGTCTGACCCGGGCAAGGGCGGGTGACTCTGTAAGCGCTCCTCCCGGAGTGGAGACATGGTGGCCCACCAGTGACACCAGTAAGACCCAGCACGCTCTCACTCATACGCATACACAGAGACACACACACATGCACAGTCATGGTGGTGTTTGGGTACAGCTGCCGGGTCATGGGGACGTGATGTAACCTCTGTTTTTAAAGTTTCACAGTTTTGTTGAGGCCACCACCGCCTGTAAAAATAAAAAGGTTTGAAAATGTTTGTGTTTGCGGCCTACCGATGTGCCAAACAGCATGTAAGCACCACACCCTAGGCCATTTTCATAAGGCATGAAACACTGCATGGGTTTGGGGAAAGTACATAATACAGCATATAAAATAGCTTTTTAAAAGCTAAATTATATGTGTGAGGTTTCGCCCTGATGTCAGACTGGGAGAGAGATTGCGTGGGCTGGTTGGGACTGGATGTTTAGACTATGTTTTAAGACGCACCCTATGGGTTGAAAGGGTGCCTTTATACCCCCCTCCTCGTTTGCCTTATCCTGCCCCCCCTTTTCCGCCTGAGGTTGCCCTTAACCACCGATCTAGGACCAGATAAAAAACAACCCTTTAATGAGGAAGAAACATATCTGACCCTGTATCAGCCTCCTCCCTGTATTTTCAACCAGACTCCAGGCCAGAAGTGGTAGAGTGACTTTGACAATGGCTAACTGACACAACAAATTGGACAACATAAAAGCCGACCAAAACACTAAACCAACCACGATAGTGAAGGCAAAGAACAGACCTGCCCTCGAGGAGCCTTCGGAGCCGGTTCTTCGCTTCGGAACCTCCTGAAACACTCTGTTCAGGTTCTGGCCTGGGTTCTCTGTTGGAAAACAAGTGGCGACAGATAAGATAAGTGTCAGACCCCTAGACTGCCACATGGATGAGGGGAGATAACCCCTAGGCACAGGTCTAGGATCAGCTTACACTCCCCAAATTCAAAGCTTAAACATTATGGGGGAAAACTCAAAACTGACACTAGATCAGTGTCTAGGTGCAGTTTTATTCTACTCAATGGGTATAATGGTGGTAGTCAGGGCATTTGCTATATAGAGCTATAGATCTACAGTTACTAGACCACCTCATCACCACAACATCTAGACATCTGAGCAAAAACCCTAACATTTGGGCAAAATCAATTCAACTTATTTAACAAGAACGAAACCCATAGGTGATTTACTAAAGAACGCAAATCTAACTAGAAGGCATATGGTTCAGTATGTCATAGAGCTCTGCTACCTGACCCGAGCCCGACGGGCCCCGACATTATACATCGGGTTAGGGCCGGCTAGGGCCTGTTTCTTCATCAATAACTAGGCTAAGGGCAGGGCTTGGGTATCACCAAATTGATTACTAACATTTTGAAGCTAAGCCATTTGCTTCTGCTCTGCTGCGCAGTACAGCCATATCTTACTGAGATCATGGTGTCAGAAGTGCTTCAACCTCGTCAAATATAACACCAGAACATTGTCTCATTCGACAGAAGAGATTATTTCACCAAAAATAATAACGTTTCTTGAGTTTTGTCGGAGTTTAGAGTGACGAAAAGTAGCTAGCTAACAGCAAACTGCTCTCTCATGCCTCGTCATTGAGCAGAGAAGCCCCAAAGAGGAGCAGCTGCTATGGTTACTCACATACAGAGCCATGAACATGCAGCACAGGGAGGGAGCGGGGGACAGCAAAATACATCATCCCAGCTGAATTTCTGTATTTTGAAAAGTTATATATCTTAACTTAATTGCTGAAATGCAAAACATTTTGGGACTATATCAACAATGGACTGATGAAACAAATGCCAAAAGTTTGTTTTTGGGTGGAGTTTTCCTTTCAATTTGGCAGAAGCAATTGGGCATAGGTAGGGTAGGGTAGGTCCTGAACATCGTGGGCATGGGTAGGGCTTGGGCTTAAAATTCATGCCTGTGCCTGGCTCTAGTATGTTACAATGCTTGTAAAAAACACATTGGCCAGAGTAATACGCACAGTAGAAGGCAACAGTCACTTAATGTCAAACAGCCAGAAACAAAGAAAGTGGATTTAAGTTAACCACTCTACACAGTCTTAAACCGCCCTCTGAGAACCCTTGAGTCAATCCACATTTTCTACCATTCAAACCACATATCAAACTCTCCACATATACAAGAACGGACATTGATGGGGATTTGGGCTCACTGAACCGTGAGTTGTGGGTTCAGTTATTGAAAACTTAAATGATTGAAACAGAACAGAACTAGTAGCTACGGCACATAAGAACCACATTACATTTCTCCCCAACATGATTCTATTAAACTTCTGTTAAACTTCTCCCCTGGGCAGACAGGTTTGGGGCTTGCTGCCAGACCAACTCCTTGAAATCCGTCCAAACAAGCACAATAGACAAGAGTGCAGAGCTACAGTGTGTGCACATTCATCTACACTCACTACCCCGCTTTAACACAGAGTAGAACTACAGTGCAAACTTTTACATCATCCCTGCCCTGACTGCCAAGTGTGCCCTTGCTGTGAAATGCAGAGAAACCAGACTGAGGACGTATTTCCTAAACTGCACGTCTCGCCTCGCTCTCGTCCCGGGCTTCCTGCCGACGGCAGCAGCTCGTCTTGCCCTGCTACTGACTGAGCACCAAGCTCCAAACGATCAGTTCCTCACTCAGAGACAGAAATAGAGAAAGCGCAGAGAGACACAAACACAGTGAAAGAGAGGGATGGATATAATAATAAGAGGGATGGATATAATAATAAGAGGGATGGATATAATAATAAGAGGGATGGATATAATAATAAGAGGGATGGATATAATAATAAGAGGGAAGGATAATACTACAGGGGAGGATTAATAATACGAGGGATGGATATATATAAGAGGGAGTTATAATAAGAGGGAAGGATATAATAATAAGAGGGAAGGATATAATACTAGGGGACGGTTATCATAATAGGGCAGAGGGAAGGTATATATAAGCGGGAAGGATATCTACTAAGGGAGGATAGAGGGAAGGATATATATAAATGGATATAATAATAAGAGGGATGGATATAATAATAATAAATAATATGCCATTTAGCAGACGCTTTTATCCAAAGCGACTTACAGTCATGTGCGCATACATTTTTACGTATGGGTGGTCCCGGGGATCGAACCCACTACCCTGGCGTTACAAGCGACATGCTCTACCAATTGAGCTACAGAGGACCACCGAATTTGAAGAGGGGATATGAAGAGGGGGATAGAGATATTTAGAGAGGGAGAGAGATTGTGGGGGAGGGGGGAAGAACTAGAAAGAGAGCAAAGAGGAGAAATACAGTGAGGGAAAAAAGTATTTGATCCCCTGCTGATTTTGCACGTTTGCCCACTGACAAAGAAATGATCAGTCTATAATTTTAATGGTAGGTTTATTTGAACAGTGAGAGACAGAATAACAACAAAAAAATCCAGAAAAACACATGTCAAAAATTTTTATAAATTGATTTGCATTTTAATGAGGGAAATAAGTATTTGACCCCCTCTCAATCAGAAAGATATCTGGCTCCCAGGTGTCTTTTATACAGGTAACGAGCTGAGATTAGGAGCACACTCTTAAAGGGAGTGCTCCTAATCTCAGCTTGTTAACTGTATAAAAGACACCTGTCCACAGAAGCAATCAATCAATCAGATTCCAAACTCTCCACCATGGCCAAGACCATAGAGCTCTCCAAGGATGTCAGTGACAAGATTGTAGACCTACACAAGGCTGGAATGGGCTACAAGACCATCGCCAAGCAGCTTGGTGAGAAGGTGACAACAGTTGATGCGATTATTCGCAAATGGATGAAACACAAAATAACTGTCAATCTCCCTCGGCCTGGGGCTCCATGCAAGATCTCACCTCGTGGAGTTGCAATGATCATGAGACTGGTGAGGAATCAGCCCAGAACTACACGGGAGGATCTTGTCAATGATCTCAAGGCAGCTGGGACCATAGTTACCAAGAAAACAATTGGTAACACACTACGCCGTGAAGGACTGAAATCCTGCAGCGCCCGCAAGGTCCCCCTGCTCAAGAAAGCACATATACAGGGCCGTCTGAAGTTTGCCAATGAACATCTGAATGATTCAGAGGAGAACTGGGTGAAAGTGTTGTGGTCAGATGAGACCAAAATCGAGCTCTTTGGCATCAACTCAACTCGCCGTGTTTGGAGGAGGAATGCTGCCTATGACCCCAAGAACACCATCCCCACCGTCAAACATGGAGGTGGAAACATTATGCTTTGGGGGTGTTTTTCTGCTAAGGGGACAGGACAACTTCACCGCATCAAAGGGACGATGGACGGGGCCATGTACCATCAAATCTTGGGTGAGAACCTCCTTCCCTCAGCCAGGGCATTGAAAATGGGTCGTGGATGGATATTCCAGCATGACAACGACCCAAAACACACGGCCAAGGCAACAAAGGAGTGGCTCAAGAAGAAGCACATTAAGGTCCTGGAGTGGCCTAGCCAGTCTCCAGACCTTAATCCCATAGAAAATCTGTGGAGGGAGCTGAAGGTTCAAGTTGCCAAACATCAGCCTCGAAACCTTAATGACTTGGAGAAGATCTGCAAAGAGGAGTGGAACAAAATCCCTCCTGAGATGTGTGCAAACCTGGTGGCCAACTACAAGAAACGTCTGACCTCTGTGATTGCCAACAAGGGTTTTGCCACCAAGTACTAAGTCATGTTTTGCAGAGGGGTCAAATACTTATTTCCCTCATTAAAATGCAAATCAATTTATAACATTTTTGACATGCGTTTTTCTGGATTTTTTAAAATGTTATTCTGTCTCTCACTGTTCAAATAAACCTACCATAAAAAAATTATAGACTGATCATGTCTTCGTCAGTGGGCAAACGTACAAAATCAGCAGGGGATCAAATACATTTTTCCCTCACTGTAGGTAGTCATTTAATAGGAACACAATGTATGCGTTTTGGAATCCATCTCAAATTCGACGTAATTGCTTGTAAAAGTGTCTGCATTAGTTATGAGCAGTTTGGGGTGAAGAATGAGGGCTTTGCAGCAGGGGGGCGCAGCTCCAGTCTTTAAATTGACCTCAACACACACACACACCCCTCTGAACCACTGCCTGTCCAGACATGCATGTTATTGACTGCTGTTTGAGCGCAGATGTGCCCATTCAGACAGATCAGGAAAATTTCCCCCTGCAATCTGATGGGATCAGCTTGCCACCCACTCACTGACTCAACAGTACAGGTTGCGTTCCCCAGCAGCACACAGCAATGTGCCATTTAAGACGGTTACAAAATCAATAGCAAAAGGCAGTGGGCCAACAGCGATAAGTGGTGGAACCCTGAGTGGCGCATGTGAAGATGACATTTTGATAGATTTACTTCTAAATGCTCCCTCCCTCTACCGGGTTTGATTCCTGGGAAGCTTGCTACGATGACAGGAGACAGGCGATAACGACAAGAAAGGGAACACGTCTGCGAGGTTAATCTGGATGTCTTAGCGGGCGACATGACTGGTGATAGTGATAAGGATCGCTGTCCATTCATCAAGGGCCCGGGCTATGGCTACACTGTTGAAGGGTGTGGGGTGGCGGTGGGGGCGGGGGCGGGGGCGTTTAAACGTCTGTTGTTAAAGAGACAGCGCTACCACCAGTGACCAACAATGCAACCGTTTGTCAAGTCAAAGGTTTACAGTTAGGGCCATGCACTGACTGAGGGTCAAACACCCAAACCAGAAACCGTGGATAGATGGCAGCATTCGAGTAAAACTGAAAGCGCGAACCACCGCATTTAACCATGGCAAGGTGACTGGGAATATGGTTGAATACAAACAGTGTAGCTATTCCCTCCGTAAGGCAATCAAACAGGCAAAATGTCAGTACAGAGACAAAGTGGAGTCGCAATTGAACGGCTTAGACACGAGACGTATGTGGCAGGGTCTACAGACAATCACAGATTACAAAGGGAAAACCAGCCACGTCGCGGACACTGACGTCTTGCTCCCAGACAAGCTAAACACCTTCTTCGCCCGCTTTGAGGATAACACAGTGCCATCGACGCGGCCCGCTCCCAAGAACTGTGGGCTCTCGTTCTCCGTGGCCGACGTGAGTAAGACATTTAAACGTGTTAACCCTCACAAGGCTGCCGGCCCAGACGGCATCCCTAGCCGCGTCCTCAGAGCATGCGCAGACTAGTTGGCTGGAGTGTTTACGGACATATTCAATCTCTCCCTATCCCAGTCTGCTGTCCCCACTTGCTTCAAGATGTCCACCATTGTTCCTGTACCCAAGAAAGCAAAGGTAACTGAACTAAATGACTATCGCCCCGTAGCACTCACTTCTGTCATCATGAAGTGCTTTGAGAGGCTAGTTAAGGATCATATCACCTCTACCTTACCTGACACCCTAGACCCACTTCAATTTGCTTACCGCCCCAATAGATCCACAGACGATGCAATCGCCATTGCACTGCACACTGCCCTATCCCATCTGGACAAGAGGAATACCTCTGTAAGAATGCCGTTCATTGACTATAGCTCAGCCTTCAACACCATAGTACCCTGCAAGCCCATCATCAAGCTCGGGGACCTGTGTCTGAATCCCGCCCTGTGCAACTGGGTCCTAGACTTCCTGACGGGCCGCCTCCAGGTGGTGAAGGTAGGAAACAACACCTCCACTTCACTGATCCTCAACACAGGGGCCCAACAAGTGTGCGTGCTCAGCCCCCTCCTGTACTCCCTGTTCACCCATGACTGCGTGGCCACACATGCCTCCAACTCAATCATCAAGTTTGCAGACGACACAACCATAGTAGGCCTGATTACCAACAATGACGAGACAGCCTACAGGGAGGAGGTGAGGGCCCTGGTGGAGTGGTGCCAGGTAAATAACCTCTCACTCAACGTCAACAAAATGAAGGAGCTCATCGTGGACTTCAGGAAACAGCAGAGGGAGCACGCCCTTATCCACATTGACGGGACCGCAGTGGAGAAGGTGGAAAGCTTCAAGTTCCTCGGTGTACACATCACTGACAATCTGAAATGGTCCACCCACCCAGACAGTGTGGTGAAGAAGGCACAACAGCACCTCTTCAACCTCAGGAGGCTGAATAAATTTGTCTTGGCCCTTAAGACCCTCACAAACTTTTAAAGATGCACAATTGAGAGCATCCTGTCGGGCTGTATCACCGCCTGGTACGGCAACTGCACCGCAGGGCTCTCCAGAGGGTGGTGCGTCTGCCCAAAGCATCATCAGGGGCACACTGCCTGCCCTCCAGGACATCTACAGCACCCAATGTCACAGGAAGGTCAGTACAGGTGCATCAAAGCTGGGACCGAGAGACTGAAAAACAGCTTCCATCAGACTGTGAAATAGCCATCACTAGCCAGCTACCACCCGGTTACTCAACCCTGCACCTTAGAGGCTGCTGCCCTATATACATAGACATGGAATCACTGGTCACTTTAATAATGGAACACTAGTCAATTTAATAATGTTTACATACTGCTTTACTAATTTCATATGTATATACTGTATTCTATTCTACTGTATTTCAGTCAATGCCACTCCAACATTGCTCGTCTTAATATTTATATATTTCTTAATTCAATTATTTTTCTTTTAGATTTGTGTGTATTGTTGTGAATTGTTAGATATTACTTCACTGCTGGAGCTAGGAACACAAGCATTTCGCTACACCCGCAATAACATCTGCTAAATATGTGTATGTGACCAATACAATTTGATTTGATTTGACCTGCTGAAGTTTGTCTTTTTCTAATCTGAATCGTGTGTCTGACAACATTCAATGTACCATTCAGCACCCCTTTTCCTGTTGAGTTGGGTACAGAGTTTTGTGGGAGAGCATAGCAGGACCTCACTGAAGCTACTGTAACACAGAAACAGAACACGAGGCCTTTCTACTATACACATCAGAAATACAGCTGTCAAATTTCTCACCTGGAACTTGATGTGTGATGCAAAGCATCTGGAGGCAGAGACATCACTATAATATGTATGTAAATTATATGTGACATGCTCAGCTAAGTGTGTATGTGAGAAAACAGAGTGATACAAGCTCAGATATGTCTATGTACTGTAAGTTTCTGTATGTCTGGGTGAGAGCAGTTGATGTGTGAAGTGTGTGTGTGTATACATTTCTGTCAGTCTCACCTCTCTGCCTCCCCTGGATGCTGCGCAGTGCCAAGATGTTCTGCTCGTCAGATAGGAACTGCCTCATCTTGTGGAAGGGCTCCTTGCCCCTGATGGTCAGCTTGCTCCAGGGCTTGGGCCTAGCCAATATCTCACTGACCGAACCCTGGGACAACCCCAGCACGTAGTGGCCGAAGATCCTCTGCCCGATGTTGTGCTTGATCAGCTGCTCCTTGACCTGACGCGCTATCTCAGACGTGTCCATTTCTTCACCTTCCGAGACACTCCCTGCCCCCTCTGACTGGCTGGGCGAGGGGGCTAGGCCGTTAACGTCTGGGCTGCCCGCCGACTGGTGCTGGGATTGCGACTGCAAAGACTGATGGGGCGGCAGAGGACTGGCTGAGAGGGAGTTAGGGGTTGGGTAGTGGGCGGGGGAGAAGAGCAGGGCCTGGCCAGACACTGAGTCCTGCAGGGCTTTGGAGTAGAAGGTCTGCATGAGCTGGCGCTGCAGCAGGGAGTTGAGCGACACCTTACCCGCCAGGGGGAAAGCGGTGCCTGCTGACGCCAGCGAGGAGGGGCTGAAGAAGTCCTGCCCGCCCAGCCCGCCACCCGCGGGCGAGAAGTGGTGCGTGCCATTGGCGGTGGTGACAGGGGTGGTGTCGGAGGAACCACCTGAGCCAGTGCGCAGGAGGAGTTGAGAGGAGGGAGGGGGAGGGGAGCCCTGCAAGTTGGTACCCATGGGCGTGGCGGGAAGACGCTGTTGACCCTCTGACGATTCTTTGACCTTTCGCTCCCTCACACCTGTGAGACCAGACAAAACATGACACAGATCAATACATAATGTGGCGTCAACAAAACGAGTCCAAAATAACAAACAAATTATCTAGACAAAACAACATCTAAGCACAAGTACACAAGATTCATCACACCCAGTAGTGAGAGATGTTGGGGGTACAGTGAACTCCAGTGGAGTAGCATAACCTTAGAGTGGAGATGCACTGATTCATTGTGCGAATTTGCCAGTAGGGCTTCTGGCTGTGGAGGGACACTGAGCAGTAGTGAAGGGAAGCGTCTGGCAGGCATGTCACAAGATATGGACAGAGGCAGAGAGCTGCCTAGGTTACCTGCTGTGTGGTGTATGCCCTGCCTAACCTTCTTGCCCCTGCCCCTGCATATCACCATCTCCAGGCCACCACTCACTCAAGGTAGCTTTGGGATTCCCATATTTCAGGGTGGATTAACATCAGTGGTGTGTGTGCCTGTGGTGTATACATCAGAGTGTGGGAACAGTAGCAAAACTTACACATGTACTGTACAGCAATTATAAACAATGACTGCCAAGCAATATTTGCTCTTTATACATACTTTTCCTTGTGAGCTTTGATTCATGTTAGGTATAGTCATAGGCTCAACACCACTGCAAAAGAGGCCATGGTACACAGATCATCAGGCATACAAAATTGAGTTATTATCATAAAACTGATAACACTGTATACAGTGGGGGAAAAAAGTATTTAGTCAGCCACCAATTGTGCAAGTTCTCCCACTTAAAAAGATGAGAGAGGCCTGTAATTTTCATCATAGGTACACGTCAACTATGACAGACAAATTGAGAAGAAAAAAAATCCTGAAAATCACATTGTAGGATTTTTAATGAATTTATTTGCAAATTATGGTGGAAAATAAGTATTTGGTCACCTACAAACAAGCAAGATTTCTGGCTCTCACAGACCTGTAACTTCTTCTTTAAGAGGCTCCTCTGTCCTCCACTCGTTACCTGTATTAATGGCACCTGTTTGAACTTGTTATCAGTATAAAAGACACCTGTCCACAACCTCAAACAGTCACACTCCAAACTCCACTATGGCCAAGACCAAAGAGCTGTCAAAGGACACCAGAAACAAAATTGTAGACCTGCACCAGGCTGGGAAGACTGAATCTGCAATAGGTAAGCAGCTTGGTTTGAAGAAATCAACTGTGGGAGCAATTATTAGGAAATGGAAGACATACAAGACCACTGATAATCTCCCTCGATCTGGGGCTCCACGCAAGATCTCACCCCGTGGGGTCAAAATGATCACAAGAACGGTGAGCAAAAATCCCAGAACCACACGGGGGGACCTAGTGAATGACCTGCAGAGAGCTGGGACCAAAGTAACAAAGCCTACCATCAGTAACACACTACGCCGCCAGGGACTCAAATCCTGCAGTGCCAGACGTGTCCCCCTGCTTAAGCCAGTACATGTCCAGGCCCGTCTGAAGTTTGCTAGAGTGCATTTGGATGATCCAGAAGAGGAATGGGAGAATGTCATATGGTCAGATGAAACCAAAATATAACTTTTTGGTAAAAACTCAACTCGTCGTGTTTGGAGGACAAAGAATGCTGAGTTGCATCCAAAGAACACCATACCTACTGTGAAGCATGGGGGTGGAAACATCATGCTTTGGGGCTGTTTTTCTGCAAAGAGACCAGGACGACTGATCCGTGTAAAGGAAAGAATGAATGGGGCCATGTATCGTGAAATTTTGAGTGAAAACCTCCTTCCATCAGCAAGGGCATTGAAGATGAAACGTGGCTGGGTCTTTCAGCATGACAATGATCCCAAACACACCGCCCGGGCAACGAAGGAGTGGCTTCGTAAGAAGCATTTCAAGGTCCTGGAGTGGCCTAGCCAGTCTCCAGATCTCAACCCCATAGAAAATCTTTGGAGGGAGTTGAAAGTCCGTGTTGCCCAGCGACAGCCCCAAAACATCACTGCTCTAGAGGAGATCTGCATGGAGGAATGGGCCAAAATACCAGCAACAGTGTGTGAAAACCTTGTGAAGACTTACAGAAAACGTTTGACCTGTGTCATTGCCAACAAAGGGTATATAACAAAGTATTGAGAAACTTTTGTTATTGACCAAATACTTATTTTCCACCATAATTTGCAAATAAATTCATTAAAAATCCTACAATGTGATTTTCAGGAATTTTTTTCCTCATTTTGTCTGTCATAGTTGACGTGTACCTATGATGAAAATTACAGGCCTCTCTCATCTTTTTAAGTGGGAGAACTTGCACAATTGGTGGCTGACTAAATACTTTTTTCCCCCACTGTAAATGTACAATCATTAACATGAATTCATCGAAAATCACATTAGGAAGTAACTAAGTAGAACGCCGGTCCAACCTGTAGCCAAACAGCGCCTTTGGTTTTACATCAACATGATCCGGTTGGACAGCGAGGGGTCCCATTAGGAATACAAATGAAAGGCTTAATTTTCGAGGGCAGAGGAGGGAGGGGGGAGACCTGAAGCCAATTGGGATGACATTTCCGGAGCGACCAAGTGCACTGAGTGGTAAAGGGCACACTGGGAGGAGAGACTAACAGGGCTTCATTAGCATACTGGATCACTCCATGTCCTCCAGCCTCTGACCTCCCTTGGCCCCCCTCTCCTCCTCGCCCAGGGTGGGCTGCACTGTGCCCCTCCACTACCCCCACCCTTCCGACACACAACTGCAATCTGTGTGGGCGCAGATGCGCTACCAAAAAAGCCCTGGAAAGCAAAAAAAATACTGACCTTAACCCGTAAAGATGAGATGTAGCTTCCAAACACTAGCCATGGTCGGTACCTGTTTGTGTAGTTATAGCCCCCTAACCTGTGGTGTGGTTAGGTAATTTTTGGAGAGGTCAAATCATTTGAGTTTAGGGTCAAATCTACTTTAGGGAGAAACTTAGAACAGAAAGCTAAAGCTCTCTGAAGTAGAAGACACTTATTGTTCTTCAACTGGAAAAAAGGCAGACTGAACACCAGCAGGTGTTAAACTAGGACCAAAAGGTTGATATTATATACCAAGTCTCCAATCTTTTCATCCCCAGAGTCTGAGTAGAACTTCGGGTAACAGATGTAAAGTCAAGGCCTTTAGATAAATGGAGATATAACAAGAAACCTCAAGCAGTGATCCTTTTGAAATGTAGCACAGAGAATGTTACACTTTATCTCAAATCGACCTGCTTAAAGGGCTGATTCTCTGAATTAGATAAATCGAGGATCAAGACAAGATGAGTGCCGCGCTGAGAAAGCAGCAGCACTTCAGTCTTAATGGTGTGAGACGACTGTCAGCATCGAAACGCTTCAATTCAACTCCATTATACATTTACATTTTTTTGTTTTGTTTTTTTGTATCAAACGCGGGAGCATGCCAATGGAAACAGTTGACACATTGTTTAGAAGTGTGTCTATATTTGTAAAAAAGAAAAAGCTCCTCGAGAGATAACCGTCTTTCCTTTGAGTCTAACAGTCTCTTCTGCTGGCGGAGATAGCTGGAGCTGCTTCCTGTTTGACTACTTTACTTCCTGTCTATAACCCCTCTAGGCGACTGACAGAAAATTAACAAAAGGACTGTGTGTCCTTTTAAGTTTGAAGCACCCTGGCACACACACAGAGGCACATGCCCACGCTCTGATGAAGGCTAATGGTGAGGGACTTTTACTCCATATTACATTCTGGTCTGGGGTAACTTCCGCTCAGACAATGTTTACACTTTCAAAAAGCTCTTCATGACAGATATCCTTGAATCTCAGGATTCTAGACATTGAGACTTAACAGACGAAAAGCCATTAAGTTTGTGAGTTTGTGTGAGTGTATGACTGTGCGTCTATGGGCCTGTGTAAGGCAGCTGAATGTGGGGTATGCGATTGAAAGAGCTGGCAAAGGGCTCAGAGATCAATGGTGGAATGCTAGGGCTCTGTGCATCACTGAATTAGGCTCAATGAGTTTAACCAAACATCAGCCCCCTCTTTGGAAACAACCCTATCAGTGCTTACGAAGCCTGTTCTGTTCCAGACCATGAATAAGACCTTGACAGGGGGCAGTTCACACCAGGAGTTGACTTTGTGGTCGTGTCTACATGCATATCACAAAATAATTCTGCTGATAACAGATTGGCTGCTCTGATACTGGTTCAAGTTGAAGTCAAACACAGTTTTCCCCCCTTTGACATCAATGCACGCGCAATAGAACAGCAGACTATGTACTACGATTGCTTTTTACCACGATGCTGAAGCTCCTCTTCTCCGTTTAATAAACAAAACAAAAACGCCTGGGGCGGCCAGTGGCGCAGTTTCCTCTAATGCGGATCTCAGCTTTAAGGAGATTTAAACAACTAAAAATGGTGAACACTAATGTTCAACTTGGTCAGTTAGCAAGTTCAAGTTGGCAAACAAACACTACATAGTCCACAACAGATGTCTGATTGATAAGTAATCTAAATAAATAATGTGTGCGCATGTGCGTATGTGTGTGTCTATGTACACTACCGTTCAAAAGTTTGGGGTCACTTAGAAATGTCCTTGTTTTCGAAAGAAAACAATGTTTTTGTCCATTAAAATAACATCAAATTGATCAGAAATACAGTGTAGACATTGTTAATGTTGTAAATGGCTATTGTAGCTGGAAACGGCTGATTTGTTATGGAATATCTACATAGGCGTACAGAGGCCCATGATCAGCAACCATCAGTCCTGTGTTCCAATGGCACGTTGTGTTTGCTAATCAAAGTTTATAATTTTAAAAGGCTAATTGATCATTAGAAAACCCTTTTGCAATTATGTTAGCACAGCTGAAAACTGTTGTGCTGATTAAAGAAGCAATAAAACTGTCCTTCTTGAGACTAGTTGAGTATCTGGAGCATCAGCAATTGTGGGTTCGATTACAGGCTCAAAATGGCCAGAAACAAATAACTTTCTTCTGCAACTCGTCAGTCTATTCTTGTTCTGAGAAATGAAGGCTATTCCATGCGAGAAATTGCCAAGAAACTGAAGATCTCGTACAACGCTGTGTACTACAGACGCCTCACAAGTCCTCAACTGGCAGCTTCATTAAATAGTACCCACAAAACACCAGTCTCAACGTCAACAGTGAAGAGGCGACTCCGGGATGCTGACCTAGGCAGAGTTGCAAAGAAAAAGTCCAGTGTCTGTGTTCTTTTCTTTTTATTGGCCAGTCTGCGATATGGCTTTTTCTTTGCAACTCTGCATAGAAGGTCAGCATCCCGGAGTTGCCTCTTCACTGTTGACGTTGAGACTGGTGTTTTGCGGGTACTATTTAATGAAACTGCCAGTTGAGGACATGTGAGGCGTCTGTTTCTCAAACTAGACACTAATGTATTTGTCCTCTTGCTCAGTTGTGCACCGGGGCCTCCCACTCCTCTTTCTATTCTGGTTAGAGCTGTTCTGTGAAGGGAGTAGTACACAGCATTGTATGAGATCTTCAGTTTCTTGGCAATTTCTCGCATGGAATAGCCTTCATTTCTCAGAACAAGAATAGACTTGACGAGTTTCAGAAGAAAGTTATTTGTTTCTGGCCATTTTGATCAAACCCACAATTGCTGATGCTCCAGATACTCAACTAGTCTCAAGAAGGACAGTTTTATTGCTTCTTTAATCAGCACAACAGTTTTCAGCTGTGCTAACATAATTGCAAAAGGGTTTTCTAATGATCAATTAGCCTTTTAAAATTATAAACTTGGATTAGCAAACACAACGTGCCATTGGAAAACAGGATTGATGGTTGCTGATAATGGGCCTCTGTACGCCTATGTAGATATTCCATTAAAAAATCAGCCGTTTCCAGCTACACATTTTCATTTACATAATTAACAATGTCTACACTGTATTTCTGATCAATTTTTAATGGACAAAGTATTTGCTTTTCTTTAGAAAACAAGGACATTTCTAAGTGACCCCAAACTTTTGAACGGTAGTGTATGTGTGTGTATGTGTGAGTGAGAGTGCTTGAAGGACTCACCACTCAGCTCACTGTTGTTCAGGCGCAGGGAGGAGCTCTCAGACTGCAGGCCTCGACTCTTCAACAACAACTCCAGAGGCTTCTTAGAGTCCTGACACAGAGATAGTAAATTGTTAAAATTTTTTTGATAAGATACATTGTCTAAATATTGTCCCAATAAAACTCAAATGCAATATTCAGCCTCCTTACCTGTGCTGAGGAGAAGTTTGAAGAGCCAAACTCCATGGACTTGAGGATACTGTGAAGTAAAAAAGGAGAAATGGACCACTTTATTACTTCACCCACTACAAAAAGGAGATCACAAATACACACAGCACCACAGGACTGACATTTATCTGCTATCAGCCCCCACAGAACATCTACATCAGCGACAGGCAGTCCTTCACTCTGCTCTGACCATCAAAATCTGATAATGCAATGAAATCCTTAGAGCCAATCACAGTAATTAAAATGGGTTATTCAATCATGTGCTGGGTGCCAATTGGATTTCAGGCGATATTATCTATAAAGGAAAAAGTGTCTATGAAAAGGTTGGGAGGCAAATAAAAGACACTTTAGTCTATTAGGAGAGGAATGTTTCCCTTTGGGACCACAGGCGGTCTATCAATACAAATTCCCACAAATAGCTCTTTGGCTGACCATCATAGTGGCGCGAGAAACTCTCACAAACAGAGCCATTCACTGATACTACCTTTAGGACTTCTTCCAATTGGGAATATTATGCCTGAAAATCCAGTTACCAAATTAATGTCCAGACGGCCCCTGCCGTCCAGACGAGTGGAGATTGTTAAATCCTGGCAAGAAACCACCCGAGTACCCTAAACATGGGCAGTGCCGTCCAATTATCTTATCGGCAAATCTTAACTTCGTTAGCCTTCTTGTTACTGACTTGGACGGAGATAAGACGCAGCACAACACCAAAAAACTGAAACCACTGTTCACTGTCGTCTTGGGATCCCAGACCAGAAATGCTAGAGCTTATACGAGCCACTGTCATAGAAAACTGAATATGGCGCAATAAAGCTCACGACGTGTGTTGTTAATGAGTGAAGATAAAAAATTACATTTATCATAACAGATTTCCTTGGTTTATTCAACCTTTTTTATATAAACAATTTATCGAGCTACTGTACACAACATATTTGACAACTGCAATCAATGGTTTCGAAAGAATGTCCTTAAGAGTAGCTATACTCAAAGTTGCAATATGCAGAAATCGCTCTGTCATTTCCTGGTTGCAAAAATTCTAATAGTTCACCTAATTTCAGTTTATGTGACAAAAAGCTTTCCAGGGCTTTTTTTGTACCATCTAAACCGCGGTTAAATATATTTTCAATAAACAAAAATATTGTATTTTCAGCTTGTTTGAAGCTGGTGTTCAAAACCTAAGGTAAATTACGCAAAAAATAAACGTAAGAACGGGAAGCATAGAAACAGCGCACATAGAACATATCTACTGCTTCTTAGACTTGCTTTTATTGAGAATGACAGATCTAAAACTCCCATTTATATGTGAATTTGGTCTGGTCGCCCAAAAAGTTACATATTGCAGCTCTAAAAGAAGCGAGAAGATCAGAAGAGCATGCCACTAAACCCACATTTGGGGAGAAAGCATCCAGTACATACCCCTGTAATGAGTGTACAGCACAGCCATGTTAGCTTCCCATCTCCAGACCCCAAAACATTCCAATCAGATAAGAAAGCAGTGGCAAACAGAGGTTGAATGCAAAGTCCCACTGTCCAATCAAACTAGCTTCTCTGATAAGCACTACCAGTGCTTAGCCAATAATACCGCATTCAAGGGCAAAATCTAAAGGTTAATGATAGTCTTGAGGGTGGTTTGGCAGGGTGTCTGAATGGCACATACTTGCACTCGGTGGCATCACAAGTTTAGCCTCGGAAGCAGGAATGAATTTGACCTGGTTAATGTGTATGGTTTATTGAACTGACGCCTGTGGCTGAAGGGAGGGAAGGCAGACTGAGGGGGAAAGTGAATTACCTGAGCTCTTTCTTGACGTCTTCGTAGTCCGCCTGCTCTCGCAGTTTCTCCTCCAGTTGCTGTGTAGAGAGAGAGACACTTAGTTACTCTCTTAAGATGGGGCACTAAAGTAGCGCTTAAGCAAGTGTACACTTGGGGAGTGTACTCTTGGGAGGACAGAGCGTAAAAGTAAGTGTATAATCAAGTGGGCTCAATGCGCAGGGAAAGAGCACACTTTAGCTATTTCAAGGCATGGGCTACACACTCACTGGGGAAAATTACGGAAAGTATACACTTGAGAGACAACTCTGAAAAATAGGGGTGGTTTTACAGTTATCGTAATGAGGACCAATGAATTGGGAAGCAAATATTTGGAGAGTCACAGTATAGAATATGTTTCCTTGAGGAGTCCCAGTGTATTACCATGTGTACATTTGAGATCGCTCAGTGCATTCCAGTGTTAATACTATTGTAATTATTCTGCACTATAGCCTATTTACTGCCTTACCTCCATAACTTGCTACATTTGCACACACTGTATATATATTTTCTGTTGTATTTCTGACTTTATGTTTTTTACCCCATATGTAACTCTGTGTTGTTGTTTTTTTATTGCACTACTATGCTTTATCTTGGCCAGGTCGCAGTTGTAAATGAGAACCTGTTCTCAACTGGCTTACCTGGTTAAATAAAGGTGAAATAAATAAAATAAAAAAATAAAAAAATAAATGGAGAAGGGTACATAATAATTATACTCCTTTCTCTTTTGTGCAATCTTTAAAAGACACATTACCATGTAGCTACACTAAGTCATGACAACTTCCGATAGAGAAGCACTTCAGTCTCTGTGCATAAAGCTCACTGGATATGACATGCCTGTTCAGTCTCCGCAGATACAAAGACATGTCAGTCAAGTCCTAAATGCAGAGCCATGTGAGAGTTCAGTAAAACCACTGTGATGTTTATGGAGAGAGGGTTCAGGGCTACGCATTAGTCAGAGGGTCCTGACATGTTTCAGTTGTAAAATACTGTTTTGCTGAGTTAAAGCTGAATGGTAGTGCTTACAGTAGGCGTTAAGAACTCAAACCACCAATTGTTTATACAATATATAACTGCATTACCTGGAGGCACACTGACGCACTATAAACTACTATTGACAACTTCTGGTTATTTTTTTACATGGCACATAGTTAGGCTTACTCTTCCTAACTGACCCCTAACCTCATGTTATGGAATTGACCAGAGGCCTTGCTGATGACCAGACTAGCCTACCTACGGAGGAGAAGCTGTGACTATCGAAGATGATGAGGTGCCCGATGAAGAGCTCTGTGGCCTGTCTGTCTCTACCTCCCTGCCTGGCTGTACCATCTATGCTCCCTCCTCTCAATATACTACATTTCTGAACTGCCTATCACATAAAGCTGTGGAAGACCATCGCCCAAGAACTGCCAGATCCCTATTTTATTTTTAATTTTTAAAGAGACTGAGATTCTACTTGTATTGAAAAGCGCTATATACAGTGAGGGAAAAAAGTATTTGATCCCCTGCTGATTTCGTACGTTTGCCCACTGACAAAGAAATGATCAGTCTATAATTTTAATGGTAGGTTTATTTGAACAGTGAGAGACAGAATAACAACAACAAAATCCAGAAAAACGCATGTCAAAAATGTTATAAATTGATTTGCATTTTAATGAGGGAAATAAGTATTTGACCCCCTCTCAATCAGAAAGATTTCTGGCTCCCAGGTGTCTTTTATACAGGTAACGAGCTGAGATTAGGAGCACACTCTTAAAGGGAGTGCTCCTAATCTCAGCTTGTTACCTGTATAAAAGACACCTGTCCACAGAAGCAATCAATCAATCAGATTCCAAACTCTCCACCATGGCCAAAACCAAAGAGCTCTCCAAGGATGTCAGGGACAAGATTGTAGACCTACAAGACCATCGCCAAGCAGCTTGGTGAGAAGGTGACAACAGTTGGTGCAATTATTCGCAAATGGAAGAAACACAAAATAACTGTCAATCTCCCTCGGCCTGGGGCTCCATGCAAGATCTCACCTCGTGGAGTTGCAATGATCATGAGAACGGTGAGGAATCAGCCCAGAACTACACGGGAGGATCTTGTCAATGATCTCAAGGCAGCTGGGACCATAGTCACCAAAAAAACAATTGGTAACACACTACGCCGTGAAGGACTGAAAACCTGCAGCGCCCGCAAGGTCCCCCTGCTCAAGAAAGCACATATACAGGCCCATCTGAAGTTTGCCAATGAACATCTGAATGATTCAGAGGAGAATTTGGTGAAAGTGTTGAGACCAAAATCGAGCTCTTTGGCATCAACTCAACTCGCCGTGTTTGGAGGAGGAGGAATGCTGCCTATGACCCCAAAAACACCATCCCCACCGTCAAACATGGAGGTGGAAACATTATGCTTTGGGAGTGTTTTTCTGCTAAGGGGACAGGACAACTTCACTGCATCAAAGGGACGATGGACGGGGCCATGTACCGTCAAATCTTGGGTGAGAACCTCCTTCCCTCAGCCAGGGCATTGAAAATGGGTTGTGGATGGGTATTCCAGCATGACAATGACCCAAAACACATGGACAAGGCAACAAAGGAGTGGTTCAAGAAGAAGCGCATTAAGGTCCTGGAGTGGCCTAGCCAATCCCATAGAAGATCTGTGGAGGGAGCTGAAGGTTCGAGTTGCCAAATGTCAGCCTCGAAACCTTAATGACTTGGAGAAGATCTGCAAAGAGGAGTGGGACAAAATCCCTCCTGAGATGTGTGCAAACCTGGTGGCCAACTACAAGAAACGTCTGACCTCTGTGATTGCCAACAAGGGTTTTGCCACCAAGTACTAAGTCATGTTTTCCAGAGGGGTCAAATACTTATTTCTCTCATTAAAATGCAAATCAATTTCTAACATTTTTGACATGCGTTTTTCTGGATTTTTTTTTGTTATTCTGTCTCTCACTGTTCAAATAAACCTACCATTAAAATTATAGACTGATCATGTCTTTGTCCGTGGGCAAACATACAAAATCAGCAGGGGATCAAATACTTTTTTCCCTCACTGTAAAATCAATGTATTATTAGTGTTACAGGACTGACCAGGGCCCTCATAGTGTTACAGTACTGACCAGGGCCCTCATAGTGTTACAGTACTGACCAGGGCCCTCATAGTGTTACAGTACTGACCAGGGCCCTCATAGTGTTACGATGGTGGTGTGACAGGGCCCTCATAGTGTTACGATGGTGGTGTGACAGGGCCCTCATAGTGTTACAGTACTGACCAGGGCCCTCATAGTGTTACGATGGTGGTGTGACAGGGCTAACCTTGAGCGAGCTCTCCTTGGTGCTGAGCTGCTGCTCCAGCTGGCTGATCTGCGAGGCAGAATTCTCCTGGATGTTGGCCAGGCTGGCCTGCAGTCTCTGCACGTCCTCGGCCAGCTGCAGCACCTCCCGCTCCTTGGCGCTCAACTCCACCTCCAGACTGGAGCGTGACAGAACCTCCAGGGCCTGCTCCATGTCAGGGGCCTTCTGGATCTGTGTGGCAAGCTGGAGGGACTTGTTGGCGGACGTCAGCTGTTCCCGAAGAGCCTCTGCTTCTCTCTCTGCTACCTCCGCTCTCTGTGAAGTAGAGAGAGACAAGTCAAGTTTCCCCACTATCCCACCCTTCGCAGTCATGTTGTCTACAGACAACCATAAGATAAATCACTGTAGGTCTCAAGTCTATACACAGCCATTTTTTAAGGCCCAATTCTAAACTTGAGATCTGCTAATATAACCTACATGTTTGTCTAATAGACATTTATTTATGATTTGCGTTAAAGTTTGAATTGCACACATGCATCTCTAGTTCCAAGATAGAACAGTGAGTACAGAATTTAGACCCACAGTGATTTCACTCTCATGGATTTGTATATTCATGCATATCCTCCTGCATCAGATCAGTACTGAACCACATAAGAAAACTAGCGGGGGAAGAACACAAGGGATCCTAATGACTCATTACATGTTGAAGATGCTTAAACATTCAACCTTTAGATATATCAGGAGCTAAAGCCTTCATCTTTATGGAATTATGGAGATGTGCAATTTTTCAGGCGGCTAAGTTATTCTAAAAGTTTGGGTAATGAGGCCGCTATTTCATATAATGCCAAATAATTGTTTTGGGTGATTCTATTATAAATTGTAATCAGCGGGCTCCCTTTAATTATGCCGTAGCCAGAGAAAAACAAGGTAAGCAGACGCACAGGCAAACCTTTAGTGAGATTTTACTCCCAAGGGCTAACGTATATTGAAGTGTGATGAAAACAGATACCCACACATTATACATATTCTTCCAAAGAGTACCATTAACAGCGTGCACTACAGAAGAAAATAAAATCCTCCTCCATTGTCTCTCACATTACTATTACACAGCTACATGTGACCATGATTGGAAGTGCTTGTACCACCATTTATAACGTGATGGAATGACACTGCAACTTGCCCAGTCATTGGGAGTGGAGCGAATGAAGTGTCGTCTGGAGAAGGCTGACACCAGTGATTCTCACTCAACGCCCCTCTCTAAACCCTCTCTGTTTCTTTGCTAGCAGATCTGAGGAGTGTGTGTGTAGTGTGCGTCTGCCTGCGCCGTCGGATGAGATGGGTGATTACAGGAACTAAGCGACAGCAAGGCGCACACAACACACACACACACACTTCACCTGACAACTAATCACTTCACCAACTGAGCTAATTGATCAACATCAGTGATTGGCTAATTTCCAACTACCTGGTCTCTAGGCTTGGGCGGTATACCCTGGTATGGATGGTTTTTCAATACCGTCGAAAATATATATTTGATGTTTTTCAATTCATGTTAATATTTGTAGATACTTTTTAAGTAATTACCTGCAGTCAACTTGCAACACCAGGTGTGTGCAATATGTTAGGACAGGGGTACTCAACTCTTACCCTACGAGGTCCATAGCCTGCTGGTTTTCTGTTCTACCTGATAACTAATTGCACCCACCTGGTGTCCCAGGTCTAAATCAGTCCCTGATTAGAGGGGAACAATGAAAAAATGCAGTGGAACTGGCTTCGAGGTCCAGAGTTGAGCTTGAGGACATTAGGAGATAAAGCAGATCATGTTCTTCATTTCACTTGTCACATTATCTTACATTATGAAGTTTACCTTAATTCTCCAGAACAGTTTAGCCAGTTAATTGTTTGTTTGAAAATAGGAGAAAGAGGAAGTCCAGATCTGTATTGACAGGGGTCGCTTTTTATATGGAAAGTCAGTGTTTCTTTGCTTCAATAGAATGATCAGAGACGTGCAACTATAGTTTTACTTCACAGAAAACATTAGTGCAACACATTCGGCAAAAAATAGCTTAATTTTAATCAGATGACAACAGAAGTGCAACGCTATTTGGCTGGCAGCCACATGAGTAAATTAGCTTACAATGAAAAATAAAATAAAACAATTCAAAAGAAAGAATATACATTTCCTAATGTTTCGCTTAAAGTTAATCTTTAATTTTCCGGAGAAAAGTAGCGACACATCAGTCAGAGTGCTGTCTGCTGATAGAATGCCCGTTTGTGAATTCTCATCTGAGTGGAGAAGTACAACTGAAGCACAAAATTTGTCTGATACGGAGCAGAAATTCCAAGAAGCATTTTAGATCTGTGTATAATGTATAATTTTTTTCTGTGTGCCAGTACTGTTCTTCCTTCTGAAAAGCATATGTCAAAACGTTGTTCATTTGCACAATGTCTCTCGTTCAAATTCGATTGTAAATGTCCAAACTCGGTAGCTCCTACCTATATATGTATAATTTAAATAAGCTGGATTACCTGTCTTTGCAATTCGCTTATTTTTGTTTGCGCTCGTAAGCATATTTAGCTAGCAGCCTCCATGGAAATTCGCTATTACTTGTGCAAATGTTATTAGCATTCTGGTAATAGACGCCTAATGGGTTTTTTTGGCGCCCCATTGTGTACTAAACCGGTAATACCGTAAATCCCGGCATTAGAGAAGGACGGTATGACGATATGAAAATCTGGATACCGCCCAACCCTACTGTTCTCCAGAAGTCAACATTGGTCGAGTTAGTTTTGCATGGCCCAGTGCCCCGGGTGGGTGGAGTTTGTTCATTTTAGACCATTCCATTGGTCCTTAAGTGAAATCTCCACCCACCCAGGGCACCGGGACATGCAAACAAACTCCACCATTAACTTCATGCCACCATGCTTGGATGACACACACAAACAGAACACATTCACAGTAGGGCTGTGACGATACCAGTACTGCGATATTTTTTCCATGGCAAAAATGAAAACAAGAAGCAGATCAAACTTTTTGGTCCTTTAAAAACCAGCTGTATGTAAAATATTGTGTGGTATAGCTTGGAAAAGAAATACATGTGACTCTGGATGACACCATAATGATGTTCTTCCAACATTAGGGCTGTTTTTCTAAAGAAGTTAAATCCGCTTTGTGTTTTGTTTCCTTGCCACGATACTAACGAGGATCGCGATACTGGTATTGTCCCGGCCCTAATTCACAGTCTAACAGACTAGATATAAACAAGATCACATGGTTAAGACGGCGATGATAAACCTCGCAAAGAATAGTTTTCAACTCCAGACCCAAAGCCCATAGAGAGTAATTACACTGCTGCTCATCATCTTGGCTTATATTCTCGGCAGATATCAAAGGGTCGTCTCAGTGTAAATAATGCCTAATCACCGCTATGATGTTTCTGTGCAGAAAACATGGAGAAATACATTAAAGGGGGCCAAAGATGGAGAGGCAACGCCAGATTAGTCACACTCTGCAGAGCCTCCTCTAATAGGATAGCCTCTGTGTGTCTGTGTATTGTTCTTCAAGAGGCTAGTTTAACTTTTTCTTTTTGGAATTTTCTATGTTTCATACTTTCTGGAACACAATTTTGAATGTATTTTAAACAGAGCAACTCCTGTATCAAGCTGCTTAAAAAGATACCCTGACACTAAGGCCAAAAGGTGTATATGAGTAGTATGTATGTTTGCATATTCAGAACCCACTTTGATAGGATGGTTGTGATGATGGGTTAAAAACAGCCAGGGACTGACCTGATTGGCTCTCTTCAGGTCTGACATCAGCACTTCAATCTCATCGGCCCTGCAGAAAGAACAGGGCACGTAATCAACAAGGAGGCAAACAAAAGGCTTGGCACACAAGCAACAGGATGGAACACAGTATAAAAAAGCGTAAGTGTGTAGAGTGATAGAGGAGTGTGTGTTCACATGAGTGGGACCGAGTGTTTACATGCACTGTAATGTTCTGTAGGTGGATTTGCACACAATTGTGTATACATCTATACAATGTATATTTATAACCATAACTGACTGGATTCCTACTGTATACAGAAACCTGACAATATGTTCCTACTGTGTGTGTTTGTGTGTTTGATAGTGAGAGCTTCGTCCTCTAGAGTTGGCTTGCTGCTTGTTGCATGTCCCGTCCCGGCCTGGTCCATGCCCATTAAGACCCTCTCAGTTACACCCTAATCCTTCCGTCTCCCTGCCACTGTGTCCCTTCCTGAGCCATGAGGACAAGCCCTGCCGTAAAACAGAGAGATTACACTAATATCGTTTTTAGGCCTCCCCCTTAATACACACTAATCTCATATCATATTTTTCATTCTGTTTAGCAGCTGGGCTCAAGCCCACAAATGGCTTTCGACTTAGGCGTTTATTCACATCTCTCCATGCTTAACCCCGGGGTTAAAGGTATGCTCCGCTGGTTAGTATTATCCCCCACTTTATGCTCCTCCGTCAGCTACTGGACTATTGTTCATAGTGACTCAATAGGATTTACAAGACTAGAGTCGGAACTAAACGTGCGCGTTTGAAAATATGATATTTGACATTGAATTTGATATTCACTTATCGGCGGTACAGGAACAGGTGTTAAATCCATTCCAGCAAATAGAAACACTATCGTGTTTTGTGTCATGCAACCAATTGCGAGTGTGTGTGTTGTGTGTTTGTGAGTGTGTGTGTTTTGGGTCGACGGTGGTACTTCTACCCTTGGTTTTTTAATTACCCCAGCCAGTCAGAATTGCAGGGCTCAGATAACGGTTTCTTCTCAGTGGGCCCCTTCCATTTAGACAGGCTCAGGCTGTGGCAACACTCACACGCTGAGTGGAGCCAAATGTTGCCATGCTTAATTTAATGGCAACATCTAATTATAGATAATAACTTTAAATGCTTTAAATTATGTTAATTGGGTTTCGTGTCACATTTTAAGTGCACGGCATATTTGTAATGAGCGAGGATTATCATTGAGATGCATTGTTATTCATAATATACTGGCGATCAACTGCTTCTATAAAAGATTGCAATGTGATACCGATACTGCTGATTGAGATACGGCTACAAACAAATAGTGTTGTGGATGGAAACAACACACACAGGGCCAATACAACCCTCTGGCTGCAGTCCAAATCATATGACATTAAATCTCCTCTACTGTTAAAAGCATTCTGTATTTGGACAACACAATCCAATTGGAAAAGCTTCTGGAGAGAGACAGAAGAGGAAAAGCTTTCCCAACCAGTCAGTGTTGTGATATTAACAAGACACCCAGGTATTAACAATGTGTGCTGCTCTTGATACTAATGCAAACCAAATAGCATTGGAATGTGATAGTT